CCCCAAGTCAACTGCACTAATGATCCTATACAAAGACAATGCGTGTAGCCAATCTTGTAATAAATTAACCAAAGATTTATTAACTAAGAAAAAGAAATGTTATTTACAAGGTTAAAGCAGGTAAACATACACACATAAATGAGTTAGTCTTAGGTTCCAGAAGGGTAAGAAAAGCTGCTGTAATATATGTCCTTTAGGGCTAATCCAGGCCAAGCACTGGGCCGCTCTTGCTTATGCTAAAAAATCTTTGCCCTTCATAGTTCAAGCACAGTCACGATAATTTCTTCTTGACAGGGATTTATTCCCCTTCCCCAGAATTCAAGCTGATGGGCTGTGCTCATGCATGTCTCCTCTTCGTGGATGTGGAGGAGAGCAATCCACAAAGTCTTGTCCACTGATGTTGCACAATGGTTCAGCTGGTGTCCATGGGCCGCCTTTTGCTGGGCAGAAGATGACATCTCTTGTGATGAACTAGTATTTCACACTTGTTAATGCTTCTCTTCTGCCTATGGGGGCTTGAGTTCCATAGCAATTGCTTCTGTAGTTACAAAGCAAACATTTAAATATTACCTTAAACGGGGAATACAGCTATTGTGAGTGAGATGAATTCAGGCAGCAACTTATGAGCATTTCATAGAGGCTAAACACATTTTTCTAAATCTACACCTATTTTAACAATACTAACACACAGGTTAGCAAGACTGCTTTCCTGCTATGCATTTGTCAGTGTTCGGTGAGATCTATGGGACCTTGGCATAAGCTGGCACCTAGTCTGCCAGTGTCACACCCTCTTGAACCAGAACGTAATGGTAAGCCTGTTTTGAATCCAGTTTATGGCCAACAGTGTTCTGCTGTTTCCAAACATAATCTAGCCCTAAATGATTGAATATATTTTTAAGCACAATCTTGAGTGAACTGTAGGCATCAGAGGGAACTCCAGCGGCATTTTGCCTGAAATACCCCCAAAAGGCACCGGTCCGTCTCTGCTTCCCCTATATCAGCTGAAAATTCTGACAAATCTTAAACTAGCTCAGTTTGGCTGGCTGGGGCATTACTGGGGCGGGAGTATGGTTAATGCTCTGCCCACCTGTTCCAGATGGGGAACAGTGGGCACCCAGCTCCCCCTTTTCCCTGCATATCCAGCCAACCTACAGGCAGCCTATTCAGATACATAACTGAGAGTGCAAGAATATAGCCTGTGTCAAAAAATCTAACCCTTCAGCACTATTCTCTTTAAAGAACACATAGCCAGTTTTGCATGTATAGTCACTTTTCTGTTAAATTTTCAGTCCATACTTGCAAAGTTAGCCCTGTACTTATTAACAGGCAAACCTGGGAGCCAATAAAACTTGTGCCTATATAAAACAGGCTCAAAACTTAAGAGGAAGCCTCAAACCACATAATCTCATTGGAGTCCAGCCCAGTTTGGTAGTGAATAAAAGTGGCTGCCACCTAATGGGTGCTTGTGGCCTGTAGGAAATGATTTGTGGGTTTTAGGTCTGTGGATATGACAACCCTCCAAAACCATCCTGACAACACTGGTTGACACTCTTACTAGCAATCTCAGCAAATACCTCAAGATGTGAATCCAGATAACGTCAGCACTACCCGTTTTGCCATGGTGGTAGAGCTGGTAAGGGATGAGGAACGTTGGCAGAGCAGTATGAGAGAATTTGCAGTGGTACTGCCAGTGGCCTACTGTTCTATTGCAAAATGGAGAATGTTGGTATCTAGGGCTGTTACTCAGCACCTTAGAAAGTACTGGGAACACAGAAGTAACTTTTTTGTAGCTGTCATATAGAAGAAAGCAGAAAGAACATACAGGGTATGGAATAGCTCTTTTATGATTTGGATTGGAACTGGAGCTGGTGCTCCTGCAGTTTTGCCTGACGTTCACATGATCTATTCCCTTCAGCGGCTGCTGTCAGTGAATAATGGTTGATTTCTTTTACAGATCTGTAAACATGTAGTTGGGACAGAAACAAAAATAACTGTGCTGGATCTGAGGTGATGCTGATGGAAGATAAATGGCCTACCAAACAGATGCCACATGGAGAAAAATGGCTGCCGGATTTTCCAATGATGTTTTTCAGCAATTACTGATGTTTTATATTTATACATTTTAGATTTAATGGTTTGATATTTATTGTTCTTGCCATTTTCAAATTATTTTGTTCTGTCAAGACAGCGTTCACAGTAAAATAAAACAAAATCTGTACATGTATCTGAATAATATGATACAACAATAAAGTGAGCTTCAAACAACAACACTAGTAAAACTGACTGTTAAGTTCCCTGTCATCAGCTATTTTCTGTGCAACAGATTTTTTAACAATGGTGTTCTAGAACCCAGGCCTTTCACAGCCCGTCGAACATAGTCAGCTGAGGTATTCAGCTCGTATGGTCTAGGGATTGACTAGGTCAGATGTACTCCAGTAGCTGACGAAGCAGTCTTCTGGGCCTGTTAGGAGTCCCAACCTGACTTTTGAGGCAGCTAAGAGACGGGTCTGGGGGTTGAGGTGCGGAAGGAGAATACAAAATAATCTGCTTCTCTCAGAGTCCTACTCAGAAGCTGTTCTGAGAATCGAGATGGCCCTGCCCCTTCCGCAATGCTTCATACTAACATTTATATTCCAGTACCAACCACCTTGGAGCCTGTCATGGGAAAATTGGCCCCTTTCAGGGGAGTCATGGCCCAGTCTGCCAGTGACTGCCTTTTGCTGACCCACCTGGGAGTCACTGACTACACCAGTTTGCTGAGTATAAGGGTTAATTATTAGAAAACAAGTGCCTGGATCGAATAAAGGTTACCGGAGCTCAGTTAGAGGGAGATTTCCAAGGAAACACGAGACACCTGTGAAGGGGAGCTCTTATAAGGGCAGAGCGGGGAGCATAGAGGGTGAGTTCCCGTCAGCAGAGGATATGTCTATGCTGTCATAAACACCCCGGGGCTGACCCATCATTTGGGCTGGGATAGTAGGGCATGTAAAAGTTCAGTGCAGCTGATTGGGCTCATGCTGGAGGCTTGGCTCTGTGGCTCTCCCCGATTGTAGGGTATCAGAGCCCAGGCTCCAGCCTGAGCCTGAAAATCTACACTGCAGTTACAGGCCTGCATGCCCAACCCCATGAACCCACATCAGCTGACACAAACAGCTGTGGGTGGGTTTTTTTGCAGCTTAGCCATCCCCAGAGAGCTTGCTGGGGTGCACCCCAGCCTGCAGCAACTAGAAAAGCTGCTTGTAGAGAGGGGAGATGCATAGAGGCAGGGCTGAAGTTGTCAGCCCAAGGTGGTCCCCTAGACAGTGTCAGGAAGCTGAGAGATGCTGCCACATGGAACAGCAGCTATTGACAGTCCACCACAGATGCGTGACTCCAAAGAAGGACTCTACCCACGTACAGACCTGCCTCCAGGGTCAAAGGCCTGAGTCAAGAGTAGCCAGAGGGGGCAGGGCCTGGAGAGAGGAGCACAGTGGACTCATGTGGGACAGACAGAATTAAGACTGCCATGGTCTCCCGTGTAAAATGGACTAGCTATCAATCAATGAGCCCCCTCCAAAAGGGGGCACTCAGATTATTTAAAGGTCTTTATACCCCATGTTAGGGGAAATCAAGGCAGTACTTGTCTGTGGTGTCACACCTAACCACCAAGGGGGACTCCAGGATGGCCTGCCTTATGATAGAGTTCATTGTGCTAAATGCTGTACAAACATAGTGACAGCCCCTGTCCCAGACAGGTTAGACCTAACAGCTGGAAGAGACTAACAAGTGGGTCTGGTAGGCGAGGGGGCATGAAGGTTAGCAACAATAGAAAGTAATCTGGATCCATGAGCGAGAGAGAGAGAGAGCAAGTTAGTCACTCAGTGTATGCCATGGTTCTGTTTGATGATGGGCTTTGCAAAAAACAAAACAACAACAAAAAAGATGTGCCCTTTAAGGACCACCTGTTATGGAGTTATTGTTCCCAACTTCATTGTAAGGCCCAGTTATAGGTGCTCCCTGGCACTTGCTGAGAAATGTAGTCACCAGTATCTGACAAACTCAGTATGTACGGTCCTGGGACAAGGTTGAGGCGGTACCGTCTTTTATTGGACCACCTTGTGTTGGTGAGAGCCCCACACTTTTGAGCTTACACAGGGGCGTGACCTGAAGACAAGCTCTGCGTCAGCTTGAAAGGCTCTCTTGTGCCCCAGCAGAAGGTGGGCCAATAAAAGCCACACCTCACCCACCTTGCCTTACTAATAGCCTGAGATCGCCACAGCTATTTAATACCCCTGCATAGGCACTTTCCTGACAGCATCACTGACTCAGGCTTGAGAGTCCTCAGATCCAGTGAGAATAAAATTGGTAAACTTTTATTCCATTATCTAAAACAATAGTCAAAAATCAGCTGCAAATAATATTCACCAAAAGGAAATGGAGAACCACCCATCATTTTAGCTGTTCAGATTGTGAGCCCAAGGAAATGTTATGCAATTAACCTATATTGCTTGCTGTAGCCAAAAATCACAGCACTAAAGTAATAATGCTGTGTCAGTCCAGCCACCTCGTGATCGGGTCTGAATTGACGCTCCAGGTCACCCTGATTGCCATAGTTTAGACACTGCAGAAATAGGCTCCTGGGGAGGAGACAATACCTTGCCAGTACCTTTCTGAGCAATTCCCCTGCTTTGACTGACACACATGCACACCACTGATGCTAAAAGAATGGGTCAGTCCCCCCACAAAGCCTGTGTGTATCAATCAATAATACTAACAGCTACAGTGTGGTGTGAGACCAGAAGCAGACTACACCTTGTTGTGATGACACCAAATCGATGGCTCTACTTGGGGCTACTCAGCACCTCTGAAAATCAGGTCTTCTCTTTAGGTGCCTAAATGTGAATAAGGCTGGGACAGGTACGTAAGTGTTTTCTGCTATTACCACTGTTGAATGAAGATGAAACCAGTTTAGAAGCCTCCCCGAGAGCACACACGCCCTTTTGTAAAATAAAAGAGGTTACTAGATGCATATTTACTATTTATTCAAAAAATACATCATAACCAATTAGAGCCATTATTATGAAAGATTTTGGAATGAAATGATAAGAACGTATTTATTCCTGAATACATTGACAGCAATGTGCTGAAAAATACATATACAGATAAGCAGATTAAAAGCATTTGCGGTGAACAATGGATGGGCCAGCTTCATCATATTCCTGTTTGCTGATCCACATCTGCTGGAAGGTGGACAGGGAGGCAAGAATCGAGCCCCCAATCCAGACGGAGTACTTACGCTCAGGAGGAGCAATGATCTGTTAAAGAACAATACCACCTTGTGTTATGGGGTAAACATGTTTGGTGACAAACCGACTTAACAATGATACTTGATGTTAATGGAACCCCTTTGGAAAAGCTGCAGTGGCATCGCTCACATTTCATTAGGCCACTCACGTGTGAGCTCCGGTCCAACATTTCATAGTCAGGGGATAGTCTGAGCCAAGCTGAGACCGAGAATTTGAGCACCCTCCCCGTCAAAGCAGTACCAGTGACTGCAAGCACTGGGAAGCAGGGGAAGCTGCAACCCTTGAAACATTTAAAGCCAAACTGGCTAATGGATTGGAAAATATATTAAGGGACAATCGTGCAAGTGCAGAGGGATGGACAGGGGTTCTCACACTGTGGTTTGTGGAACCATTTCCTTCATGGCAGGGAGATTGTGATATTTCAAGAGCCGAGGGATTGTGGTGACAGGAAAGGAACTTTTTTTTAGCAAGTGGTCAGCAGAAAGAAAAGGTTGGAAAATGCCTGGAGAAGGGGCAGGGGCACCAGAATTGGGGGAGGGAGAAAAAAGAAGGCTATGGCCCCATTTTTACTTGCCTTAATGGCAAGAGACAGGTGGGGGAGGGAGCAGAGAGGAGTGAGCAGGGCCACAGGGAAGAGAGAGTGGGGCAGGGACCCAGGAGAAAGGGGAGGAGTGGGGGCGGGGCCACAGTTGGGGCACTGGTGGCTCCACCCCACACTTCTAGAGCACTTCTGGCCCTCCTGAGTAGGGGCCTGATCAAATCCCAGGGAAAGCAATAGCTGTGTCTTTGAGTCTTTAGACTCCTGGCATCAATGGGAAACATGTTAACTTTGAGTAAAATTTTCAAAAGTCCCTGAGAGTGGGATTCACAAGGTCACTACAGCACCTAACTGTTAGGTGCCCTGCCACCATGGGAATTCACAACCCTGGCTTAGGCACCCAGGCTCCCTGCACAGTGCAGGGGGAGAGTTTGTCCCCTAACAAAGAGATTCATAGAATCCAGCAAGCGAAGAATGAACGGCCTAGGCTAGCCAGTGCAAAATGCTGGGGAACTGGGTGTTGCCTAAGCCCTGACCCTCAAAAGGGTTAGGTACCTAACTCCACACAGGAGGGCGGCACCTCCCTCCAGTCAGGATTCTCAGCTTTGAATCCCCTCCTGGAATCAGGTGCCTGAGCCAGGCCAGCCCTTTCTTAGGAAAAACAGAGGACGATAAAAAGCTGGATAAAAACCTCCCCTCAATAGCCCTGTGGTTAGAGCACTCATGTAGGGTGTGGAAGGCTTGGATTTAAATCCCCTCTCTGTAGAGCAGGGGCTTGCACCCGGGTGAGTGCTCTATCTACTGGTTTATTGAGTATGCTGGGTAGGTCTCAATCCCTCCCGTGGAAGCTGCCCCACTTTGTATAAAATACTTAAATATCCACTGGACGAGAGAGCAAGATTGACTCGACAGTTGGTGCTTAGGGCTCTCACTGGGACCTGGGAGACCCCAGCTCCAGCCCCTGCTCCACTCGGTATGAAATCTTTAAATAGTCATTGGGATGTCTTCAACAGGCGAGACAGAGAGAGCCACCCCAGAACATCCCATCGCCCAGTGGTTAGGGCTCTCACCTGAGGGGTGGAAGACCTGGCTTCAAGTCCCTACTCTACATCAGGCAAGAGGATTTGAACCTAGGTCTCCCATTTCCCACAAACCCACATCCCGCAATAACCACCAGGTTATTGGGTTTAAAGGGCAGCTCCACATCCTCAGGCTGTGCTTTGGACAGAGCCCAATCTGGCATGTGACAGTCACTGGCCAGGCACATGGGGGGAGTAAGCTCCTACACAGAAAGGGCTGAAGTAACTTGCTCCATGCCGGGATCAAGGGAGGAACTGGAATTCAGTCACAATTCATTCTCTGCTCTCCTTTTGAGGCAACGCAGTTACCTGCCACCCCTTACTCAGGGCAGATTATACAGTTACAGTCTAGCCCAGAGTAAGGTACAGCTCATCTTAAATCAGGGTGGAAAAACTGGCCTTTTGCTAGCAAGCAGGGTATGTATGGGTGATTACTTGAGAAAACATGCACATGAAAGAGTTGAACCCCACCGCCCCACACACACATTTTTGCAAAAATCTGCCTACAAATACTTGTGCTGTACCTTGATTTTCATCGTACTGGGAGCCAGAGCAGTGATTTCCTTCTGCATCCGGTCAGCAATACCCGGGTACATCGTAGTACCACCAGACAGGACATTGTTTGCATAAAGGTCCTTTCTGATATCAATATCACACTTCATGATGCTGTTGTAAGTAGTTTCATGAATGCCAGCAGACTCCATGCCTGTGAAAAAATAGCAGAAGGTTTAGAATAAGCCATAAGTGAGTACGTAGTCTTCACACTGTTAAGTAAAATGAATAGAAGCTGCTGTTCAGAAGGCACCAGTCTCCAAGGCTTGTGCAGAGTCATTCTGCTGCCGGCTAAACTACTTAGAATATGTCTATGCTACAGCGGTGCGGCTGTGGTGCCACAGTGTAGACAACTCCCGTGTCAGCGGAAGGGGTTTTCCCATTGATGTAGTTAATCCACTTTTCTGAGGTGGGAGCTAGGTCAACAGAAGAATTCTTCTGTCAAGCCAGCTGCATCTACAGTGGGGATTAGGTCAACCTACCTAGGTCACACAGGGTGTGAACATTTTCACAGCCCTAAGTGATGTAGCTAGGCTGACCTAATTTTTAGGTGTAGACCAGGCCAGAAGTCAGCAGTTATTTGGGGCACAGATTGCTTGTGTAATTGTTTCAAACAAGAAACCAAAGGGTCTGGAATGAAAGAGGAGTAGAGTCGCCATTAGAATTTTCCATCCAATTTCAAACGGATTATAAGAATTCCTTACAGCTTTACTGAAATCTTGGTTTTAGAAAAACTAATCAGCTCAGAGCTGGGCTAGCCTATGTATGTCCTAGGAACGTTAGGTGTGTAACACTATTATTGCTGGTTTCAGAGTAGCAGCCGTGTTAGTCTGTGTTCGCAAAAAGAAAAGGAGGACTTGTGGCACCTTAGAGACTAACCAATTTATTTGAGCATAAGCTTTCGTGAGCTACAGCTCACTTCATCGGATGCAACAATTATTGCTGGTTGGGAATCCTGCCCTCTCACAAGACCTACAGGTGATTCCATTTGGTTTCGTGGCAGCCTATACTCACGTCTGTTCACTAGCATGACACGGTGCTAATGCCTCTTTCCTAAGGCACAGGCGCCAAATATACTCCGGTTTAGACAGCCAGTGTACATAAGAATTAAAGTGTCATTTTCCTTTCATCTATTAGCACACTGAAAGTACAACAGAATCATAGAATAACAGGGTTGGAAGAAGGGACCTCAGGAGGTCATGTAGTCCAACCCCCTGCTCAAAGCAGGACCAATCCCCAACTAAATCATCCCAGCCAGGGCTTTGTCAAGCCTGACCTTAAAAACTTCTAAGGCAGGAGATTCCACCACCTCCCTAGGTAACGCATTCCAGTGTTTCACCACCCTTCTAGTGAAAAAGTTTTTCCTAATATCCACCAATAGTGACACTTCCTAGTTAAAGAACACCTCTGGGAGGAAATACAGCCTTCCTTGGCTATTTTTTAAATATATGGTGATATTACTTTGCTGTTTCTGTTCCCTGATGGGATGAGTAATTCTTAGCACCAGGTTTCCTGTGTGAATCTTCGTATTTACAAATTCAATACTCACCTTCCAAGAGTATTCTCCAATTTTGCTTAAAATCTGCTCTGTGCATGAATCTCTTGCCAATAAACTAATTGTCCTCTGGTAGTTATGGAAAGCAAAAGCAAAAGGGGGCAAATCCAATCAAAGCAAATTATGATCATTCAATATTTATATTACAGTAGCATCTAGAGGCCATGATAAGGATCAGGACCCATTGTGCAAGGTGCTGTAAAAATAGGTGTGAGAAGATCCCTGCCCCTTAGAGTTTACAATCTATGATGAGCAGCATAAAAAGAATATGGAGATGTAATAATTTTCTGGTCAATGAGGGGAAGTTGTTGTATATTGGGTTATAAGACTTTCCTGTATGAATGTACTGATCTACTTTAATAGGGGACTGTGAGAAAAAGAAGCAGGGAAGCAACACAATATACGCAACTTACCATTTCCTAGCAAACACTTAGAGGGAAATTACAATACAATGGCCTACCTCCTGTCTCCAACCCAAAGTTACACACCAATTTTGCCAATGTGGGGGAACATACATATCAAAGCTCTATAAACAATTAAATAGCTTGCTCTCTGGGAAGGAGGGTAATCAAAAGAATGAACCGCTTTTAAATGGATTCTCCTCGAAGCAGAGGGGAGTGACATTCTTTTGTGAGTTAAGGGAACAGACTATGTCATCCAGACCCTTTGGGCCTTAGGGGTCTATAGGAAGCTAAGACCAGGATCCCCGTGTGGAAGATGGATAGATACCTGGTAAGCAAGACATTCATCAAGTCTGAGTATTGCTGACAGACCTAATTTCTCTTAAATGGTTTTGTTCTAAATAAATACTACTTTGCTTTAAGGAGGCTGCTTGGTTACTGGGTACCACTGTCATTGCTCCTGGAGAGAACAGACTAGCAGGTGCTGAACATAAGTCACATCTGCTGAGGTAATCACAGCTGATCACTGGGGAGCACAGCCCAGGGCCTGTTCTGAGAGTGGAAGAATCACGTGGTTCCACCCCAAGAGAGATTTAAACCTGAGACCTGAGCAGAGGGCATTTGGAGAGACCAGGAAGGGTCAGAAGAGCAGGTATTCACAGCTTCCATTTAATGGTCCAAGGATACAAATGGAAAACAGAAGTAAATTTTGAATTTCCAGTGATATCTATGATTTATAGGAAGTGCACAGAGTCCCAGGGAAGCAATGATCAATGAACAATGATCCTGACAAAGCAGAAATAAAATCTTCGGACCAAGTTCTGAGCTGCTGTGGTGGGTAGGACCCCAGGGGTAGTTCACCCATTTAAGGCAGATCTGAATTAGACCCTTCAACGTTTTTTTTAAGCATTACATTTGGCTCCTTAACATGCATCAGCTTTCACATTGTCTACTAATGAGCTGGGGAGTGACTTGTTGGTCCAAGGCTATTAAAGCACAGTAGCTGACTGTACAATACATGAAACGATGCTGATCTCTATCTAGGAGAACAGGAATGAGTAGTTTTTGTTTTTATTTTGAAAGTGTATATTACTTAGCTGATGAACTGTGACTTGACATTAAACTCCTTTACATGAATGGTGCTGTTATAATATAGACCCACATTAACTGAAAATATATACTAGAACATATGCATCTATAGGCACCGTATGCTGTAGTCTACTTAAACGAATGTGGAGCAGGGTGTGGTTAGGAATTAAAGGAGCACAGGGATGAGCTATTAACATAATTTACCAAAAGAAGAAATCAATTAACTTACCAATGAAGGAAGGTTGGAATAGGGTCTCAGGGCAGCGGAAACGCTCATTACCTATGGTGATCACCTGCCCATCAGGCAGTTCATAGCTCTTCTCCAGAGAGGAGGAAGAAGCAGCAGTGGCCATCTCATTTTCAAAGTCCAGGGCCACATAACACAGCTTCTCCTTGATGTCACGGACAATTTCACGTTCAGCTGTTGGCAGGACTCAGACTTTAGAATGGGAGTTAAAGATTCATGCATTTTAACAGATTGTCCATCACTTTACCCCACCAGCTCTTCCAAACAACTTGTGAAAATAAATTCTCTCTTAGTAATGCTGGGTGGGTATTTTATATTCTGCTCAATTTCTTTATGCTTCTGCTGCAGCTCTAAGAACAACCACTGATCTTTTAAGGCTATCAGGAATTTTACATATTAAGCAAATCTTCTAATTTACTATTGTCCTTACCAGTAGTCACAAAGGAATAGCCACGTTCAGTGAGAATTTTCATGAGGTAGTCGGTTAAGTCTCGGCCAGCTAGGTCCAGACGCATGATGGCATGGGGCAGGGCATAGCCTTCATAGATTGGCACATTGTGGGTGACACCATCACCAGAGTCTAGTACAATCCCTTTGAGAAAGCAGTACAGATGTCAGTTGACCTCAGATTCCCATTTTTTTAAACTTCACATTTTCCCTTCCCAAAGATCCCAAAGTCACATACCCGTGGTACGTCCAGAAGCATAGAGGGACAGAACAGCCTGAATAGCTACATACATGGCTGGTACATTGAAGGTCTCAAACATTATCTGAAATGTAACAATAGCAAATCATTGTAGCCATAATCATTTTTTAAAATTACAAACAATAAGTAACTCATTAGAGAGAGGAAAAGGGGGGGTTAGTACAGATTATTGGCAAGCAGTGGAAGGGAGAAAACCAAGTGGTATTCTGTACAAATTCTATATATGTAGGCTAGGGCACCAACTATTCTGGATTTGTTCACGTGTGCATTTTCTCTCTCACACACACAAACACACACACAGCATCACTTATAGTATTTTATTTTCATCAAATAGCTGAGATCAGAATTTTGAGTGGAAAAAAACCCACTACTCTTTTTTAAAATAGCCTTTCATTTAAAAAAAAAAGGATTTAAATGCTGAAATGTGGCAGCTTGTATAGGCTGGTTCAATGACCTAATAAAAAAAGTTTAAACTACAGAAACATGGTAAATTTGACAACTAGACAGACAAGGTGGGTGAGGCAATGTCTTTTATTGGACCAACTTCTGTTGGTGAAAGAGACAAGCTTCTAAAGGGTTTGAAAAGCTTGTCTCTTGCACCAACAGAAGTTGGTCCAACAAAAGACATTGCCTCACCCACCTTGTCTCTCTAATATCCTGGGACCAACACTGTTTCAACAATAGTACAAACAACAATTTGACAACTAGCACCCCTGCCCTCCCTTCCATAACTATTTTATTATCATGAATATCAATGACATATGATGTACAATTGTTGTGAGTCTAACTGTAATGATCATATAAAAATGATACAGAATCCACAAAGATTGAAATGATTTCAGAGGAAGCTTCTCAATGCTTGGGTCCTGGACTTTTCACCATATTATAGCTTTTGAAAAATATGGTTAGGAAATCTAACTTAACCAGGGCAAAGGATAGAAATTCAGAGCTCTGGCTACTACTTTATATTCAACCCTAACTACAGTTTCTAAATTTGTACGACCTGTGGTACATATTAACCCAAAAGTGACTAGGTTTTACTGGCGTATTAGCACAGCAGACAATGAGTACAGTAATACCTTCACTCTGAATGCTCTTTCTCCTATGAGGAAAGGAGTACTTGTGGCACCTTAGAGACTAAGGTGCCACAGGTACTCCTTTTCTTTTTGCGAATACAGACTAACACGGCTGCTACTCTTTCTCCTACGAGGTTAAACATTATTTCATTAATTTAATTGACTTACTGGGGAGCTTTGATGTGGGTGATCTCTGTTCATGTGATTCTCTAGGTATGAAAATTTATCCTTGTTGCTTGTCTCTTAATTTACCTGGCACCCCCATCTGTCATTTGCTCTGCATAGAAGGGAAGCACTCTGGCCTTTCTAAATAGCTAGTAATGACCATATTATATTGGTACTATATGTACCAAAAGGACTGAAGGTCAAAAATCATAGTCTCTAAGGTGCCACAAGTACTCCTTTTCTTTTTGCGAATACAGACTAACACGGCTGTTCCTCTGAAACCTGTCATACTATATTCAGATACTGGTATGCTTACCTGGGTCATTTTCTCTCGGTTGGCTTTTGGATTCAATGGAGCCTCAGTAAGCAGAGTAGGGTGCTCTTCAGGGGCAACACGCAGCTCATTGTAGAAAGAATGATGCCAGATCTGGAGACAATAAGAAAAGGCAAAATGAAGAAACATCAGCAACCAACAGTCCATAAGCATAGCAGTTACTTCCAGCCACATACCATGCCCCGCAGCTACAAGTGCTTCTAGCACCAGAAATTGGCCAACAGTATCTGACATGCAGTTATCCCGGATGGACATGCCTGAATTCATAGTGAAAAGCTAAGTGATCAGCACCTGCAACCTACCTCAGGTTTTACCACTAATAATGTTTTGATTATTGAAAATCAGTTTGGGGACTCCTAAGTTAACACAAAATAAATACATTGAGCTTCAAAAAGCAGATAAAGACCTTTATGTTGTTTTTGGTTTGGAGAAAAATATACAGTGAAACAGCATCCACTGAAATAACTTGGATCACAGTTTGGTTTGGATTAATTATTTTTTTTCACACTAGCCATCTGTCCATTTAGAGAAGTGAAGAAAACCTCTCATTCCAGATGGAAAGGGAAAAGGTCCATGAAAATAGATTTACATAAGCAACGTAGAGACTGCAGTGTGACTCTTTGTAGGTGGAATGAATTATAATAAAAGTGGCATCCATACAGGCAATGATCAGTTTTTGTGTTTACACACTGTTCTTTGCTACAATAATTTTGTGACTCTTTCTAATGAGCAACACCAGTAAAATCGGACACACCTTAGGATCCAATGAATTTGGCCCTTCAGACCTGGGGCAGACTCCTCAAAAGTTCTATCAGCAAATAAATCCAGTTTCCCAATATTCCTCAATGTGTCTTTGGTGTTGGCCTCTATCTATAACATCTGCATGGCTCTGTAATAGTGTTCAGTAGATAACAGGACTACTGAAAACTGTTTCCTAGATGGAAAAGACTAGATTTCATGGGTGGATATGTCCTATGCTTGTCTGTAGAATTTCTCTGAGGTCAGTTGTTTCCTTGGAATTCATAACTAGCTCCACAAGCAATTTGCTTTTATTCCAAACAGATTCAGTTAACAGGATTTAAAAAAAAAAAAAATCCTGTTATCTATTGCCTTCCCACTATTAACTCTCATTCTTCCCAAACACAAAATCTTGGGCCAAGTCAGCGACAGTGAGGGAGTTAACATTCTGATGAACAGTAACATCTTGTATATTGTTTCTTTGTATTGAATTTTACATATATATAAAATTGTTTCCAAAGCATTGGTGGTCACAGATCAGTTTGCACTTTGGGCTTTTGGATTGGGGAAGTGTCACTATCTTGCTAAAGCGCTGATCCTTCTGCTGTTAAAGCCAATAGGAACACTTCTGTCTAGGCCTGAGCACTTTTGTGATGTGTTGTACTGCTTGCACAGTTCCGAACTGCTCTAGTTCTGTAGAACTACTTTAAATAGCTACATCATCAGCATCTTATAGATAAATTTCAAGAGTCTGTGGCAACAGACCTGGCTCTAGAGGCACTAAGTCTTGGATTTGAATGGTGGCTCTGCAATTGACTCATTAGGGCCCCAGTCCTGCTAAGCATATGCATAACATAGCTCGCATGAGTAGTCCCACTGACTTCAAAGTCATGGGTGAGTTTAAATGCTTTGCACGATCGGGACACATGTGGCCTTACTCAAGTCAACCTCTCTGATTCAGCTTCCCCATCTACAAAATGGATATAATATTCACATACCTTACAATAACTAGCCAGGTTTACATGTCACCTTGGAGAGTAAAATAATAAGTAACACTCATTAGCTCTGGGGTGCTGAATATATGTTAATTATTACTAGATCAGCTCCAATATTCAAAAATAAAATACAATACTACTGGATAGCATGACACTTCAACTTTCAAATTACTTTGTAATCTTTCGCTATTGCACCCAAGTAATTATGTCTAACTGGTGACTTATGTAAACAAAATGTTTAAATACCTTCTCCATGTCATCCCAGTTTGTGATGATGCCATGTTCTATGGGGTATTTCAAAGTCAGGATACCTCTCTTGCTTTGAGCTTCATCCCCTACGTAGCTGTCTTTTTGACCCATACCCACCATCACGCCCTAATAAATTACATAAAGAATGTGACTATCTCAGTGAGAGGTGCTAAGAAGCAATCAGAACACTAACTGTGAAATAAACATATGCAATTTTACACACTGGTAGCAAGTTTACAAAACATTCATTGACTACTAATCTTGGGAGTATTACTTTTATCTTTAATGCAAAAATTACATCGTTTATTTACAATATTATAAAGCTCTGGAGTTCATGTTCTTATTATAATTAAGTATGTAGAGTAAGCAACACAAGCCTAAATATAAAAATCACCAATACAATGTAGAGAAATTAAAGATGGATTTTTAAATAATAATTTGATCCCTAAGTAGTAGTCATGGAAGAAACTATCACTCAACCAAATACATCTCTGGAGAGAAAAAACTCTACATAGTGCCATTTAGTGGTAAATAATGAACACTACATTTTTCAAATTTACCCAAGGGCTATATTTGGCTGTATTTTCCAGAGTGGAAGAACAGCTATCGCTAGCTATTAAAAATGTTGGCAATTTTGAAAATGTAAATACAGTTGGCTGCTTTTACTGTATTGTGTTCTTGTCAGAGCATGATAATTACATACTCCAACCCTTTTGCTTCTCAGACTGATCCATCTTGGAGACTGATTACTTTGATCTTGTGATTTTGTGATGTCTGTAACTCCGTGAGACAGTCTGAGAGCTGATCCAGGATGTGGATGATTCTGCATGCAATTGCATGCAAGCACTTATTTTCATTATGACTAATCTGTTTTTGAACAATGAATATAATCAGTACACTGGCTACTGAAAATGGCATTTGAATTACTATTTATTATTTGCAGTATGCTAGTGCCCAGAGATCTCAAGCAGGATCTGGGCCCTGTTGTGGTAAGTAGAGGTATATTGGGTCCCTTTCACAAAGAGCTTAAAATGCCATACGCTGTTTGCATGATCGCTATGCAGCCTCGATTTAAAAGCAAAAAGAAAATAGAAAAAACGAATAATCCGTAAACTCGCCCCAGGGGTGGGGGAGCCTCTGATGGTACAGCAGCATCCTCTTGCTCATGCTGTGGAAGCCTCAGGCACTTAGCTTCGGAGCTTCTCACCCATCCTCTCCATGATACAAAACACTTAAACCATTGCAAGGTACCCAACAGTCCATGCAATGAATTGTCCAGTATAATAAGCATAAAATGATTCAAAACAGGTAGTAGCTGCCAGTTTGTTTTATTCTAAGTAATCTGCCTCAGACACAGAACAGATGGAATTCAAATGCCATGCTGTTAGCTTCTTTCATAGTTCCAAAAGGAGACCAGGAAGAGTGTGAACACTTTCAGCTACATGGTCAGATCATGGGCTACGTTAGGGTAGCTTTACTCTCCTTACAGTGTTACTGTACTAGAATCTGATCCAAAGCCTCCTGAAATCAGTGGGAACCTTGTGATTGTCTTCAGTGGGCTGAGGATCAGGTGCCTAGTCCTAAATTACCCTAAAACTAATTTACCCAGCCACTGGAGGATTCCCATTGCTCAGGGATCCTAGATTGGAGCAGAGCCCCCCAAGCTGATCCTGAAGCCCCCAGTCCCAGCAGCCAGCCCAGCAAGGTGTGATCTAGGTGCCTCAATACCACAGTAACTGCCTGCAGCTTGCTCTAGCTTGTGCTGCTAAGGATGTGGCTCATAAGCTGTGTAAATTCTATAGCATTCAGATGAAAAATGCCTTAGCACACATGATACAGCCTGTTCTATGTTATGTTGTAAAATACTTATCTGGGAACTAACCACCCCTTTCCCCCACCCTCCAAGCTTATGAAATTCTTTCTGGCAAGTAAATAAAGCAGAACAAGGTTCTGGGTGAAAAAAATCAGAAGTTTTTAAATTTCAATGAAAAAAACTGGCAACATTTTTTGGTCATTTTGTTTTAACTCCGCCCCCACCCCATGTTTTCAACCAGCTTTTAGAGTGGTCAACATTTGTACACACATCTAATTTTTTTTAACCACTGGAAAGCAGAGAAGACGGTGGGCCCAGTGACAGGGTGATCCAGAGCCAAGGGAAAAAGGATGAGATATTGAAAACTTTCAGGAAAAGGACTTCTCCCACCAGACAACAGATCAGAGATAACTCAGACATGTACACCTGCAGGGCCTGCCTGGTCTTATTGATCTGGAAATATCATGCAAATTAATGACTTGCAGCTACAGCACCTGACTCTGTGGTCTTATCAGATCTCAAACTAAGCAGGACTAGGGTTGGCAAGTACTTTCAGGGAACAAGTGGGTGCTCGAGGAAATGGTGTTGACATTTAAGGAGGTGAGTCACTACTATCTCTAATACATTCTGTTTACCCCCCCACCCCCGCATGTGTGTGTTCAGAATAATTGAACTGATAATTCACCTGGTGCCTGGGACGACCCACAATGGAAGGAAAAACTGCTCTTGGAGCATCATCCCCAGCAAAGCCAGCCTTACAAAGTCCTGATCCATTGTCACAAACCAGGGCAGTGCTGTCCTCTTCCTCGCACATCTTCTAAGTCAATGTCCTCAGGCCTTTCAGACAAAAACAGTCCTACAAAAATAACACACAGACAATGGAACAATTCTGCAGGCAAAATGCAGGGGCTGCTGCATGAAGTGGACCTGCCATGGTCAGGATAAGCATGACATCCAGTAGGAACAAGAACATTATTAACAGACAGTGTAGGGATTCAAAAGAGAGTGTTAATCTCAGAGTGCAGGAGCCTCATATTCCACCTGCCCTGCAGAAAGGGGAGGTGTTTAAAACAAAAACAAAACAACTCACAGGAATTCAATGTTATTCAATGGAATTCCCCCTGAAGGATAGGAAGTCTGATCTTTGGAGAGATGGAGTTTTAATGGCTTGAGGATGGTACATATATTTATATTTTAGTGTATACATTCAGTGCTGGACTGGCATCTCTAGAGATAAAAGGTACAGTACAGGAAGGGGCAGTGTAAGTTTCCCAGTGCTACCCATCACCAGGCCAAACTCCTGCCCTAGATGAACACTTCTAAGGGTGAGAGGGTAGCTTGCCATGGGCTTCCTTGAGTTTGCCAACAATGTTGTCAGATGGGAACCATTATAATAGTGGCATTTTTGTTATGGACACTAGAAACTGCACTAAGATGAACACCTCATTTCATACACACAATTGCTTGTTTGTTTAAAAAGAGACAGTGATTATGCTAATCAAACCCCTTTCCAAACAGTATTCTAGTGCTTCAGCAAAGATGTCCTCCCTTGAAATTAAAGCTGGAAATCATAGACAGCATCTTCATTTAAAACAGCCTCAAAACACATTGCAGCCTCATTCCAAAGTTGTCTAGAAGATCACTCTCTGCTACTATCCATGGTTATTTTGCCATGGTTCCCAAATGGATTAAATACCACTAAAATTAGTTCCTTTTCTAAAATGATGTTGTAAGGAAAGTGACACATAAAATGCTTTGAAGTATTTTGAATGAAATCAATGAGAAAAACAAGTACTGTGCAGAGATACATTTGTCAGCAGTTCATATTGTTAGAGAGAATCCTCTGAATAGCTCTGGGCCCACTGTTTGGCTTCCAAAGGCCTACATGTGGAATTCAGTGTTTCAAAACTGTGTTGAGGGTTAAGTGAGACAGGGACAAGAAGAGACACAGTTGACTGCACACACTCATTAAGAAATTCTGAAACGGGGGGGGGCGGTGCGGGGGGTAGAAATGTAGGAGAGGGTGGGAGTCAGGTTGAAGTGATGCACTGCTGAGGTGAAGGGGAGTGCATGTTGGGTAGCCTCAACAGCAGAAAAGACTAAAGAGTGAAAAATGGAAAATTCCCCCAAAATGCGATTTGTACTGCCACTGTGCAGAAAAGGAATCCAGGAGACACTGCCCAGTTCAGCTACTGTATGCTGCAGAGATGCTGGCTGCCAGCAGAAAAGTTGATACATAAATGCTAACTTGAAATATTCTAGGTTTTATGTATTGGGGAAAAAAGGAGGCGTTTTACAGTTGTACACAATTATGCATTTCTTAGGGGCAAGAGCTATTTGTGTTTAAGCATTCACTTAATGGAGTACGACTTATCTACCATGCATGAACAGCCCAGTTTGGAACAAATCATTTCCTAATTAGGAAATAGACTCTCAAAAGTCTGCTTTTGGAACAGAGTTCGAGGTCAGGGGGTTTGCTCAAACCAAGGCAAACTAGTGCTGTGCCAAAAATCACTTGGGGGAAGGGAGAAGGAAATGCTACATTTCTGAGCTTAGGGGACTCTAAATGAAAACCATATTTAGTAATAAAGCACCGAAGTTGAAGAAATCAAAGCTGAATGATTTCAGACAGGACTCTCTGCAGTCAAACACTGATTTACAGCTCAGGACTGCCATGGAGTGCAGCAGTAACATTCTACGGTAGCAATTTACACAACATTGTGGAATAAGGTAAACATGCACTATACATCTCAGGTGATTAAAACATGGATTTAGTTGTTAGCCTCCTTGTTGCTGCATGCTTTCTGTTCAGAGAGAGAGAAAACTGATCCCAGAACCTCCCCGCACAAGACTGATGAAAGATTCCAAACGCATAAGAAACATTCTATCTGTAATCCATTTCTTATATAGAATGCTTGGCGTTTTACACAATGGGTAGCTTTCTGTGTAAACAGACATCATCATCATCATATCATGCAAGCTACCAATATCACGATCTTTCACATATTTAGCACATTTAAAAGCATGCTCCCAATAACCTTTTCTAACCCAGCATGCCAATGTACAGTAAGTCTACAGCACTAAGACACATCTATGAGAAACCGTAAACTGAATCCCATCCTATAGCTAGATCCAACTGGCCAATTTAATCTATTGAATCCAAAGCAGATATGCCAGGGGTGAATTTGGCCCAGTGTGTTTAAATAGGAACACTCTCATAATTTCAATCATGTAAATATTTTAAATATACCTTTTAATATTATTTTACTGCTGATGTTACAGGTGAAATGACTTGGTAGAACTACACTTTTTCTAAGACTGTAAAATATCTTAAATATAAAGGCAATAAAATATAAAATGTTTATCAGTACAATTTTAATATGAAATATAGGACAAGCTACGGAAGAATAATACATCCTCCTGAACAGTTTCTGCTTTTTCTTTGTTAGTAAAAGTCCTCCTGAAATCTGTCAAACTGTTGGTTCAGTGCCACTTACCCTGACAGTGCTTGGCTGGGGATAGCTGCTCTGGGACGGTACACTGTGAAGCTGAAAGCTGTTTATATAGCCCCTTGGCCTGTTCCCTCCCACTAGCTTCCCAAACAAGGAGCAGAGACAGACTTCACTCCATCTCTCAGTCTAGCAGAACCATATAGGGACCTCAGAACAAAAACCTCTGATCTGGGTGGCCATGGGTCTTTTCCACTGCATTCCACTGCACTACTCCTGAAACAGAAGGAGAATTCAGCTGTGTAAGATAAACACTGCAAAACTTCATGATAACTGCTAAAATGCACTGAGATATTGTACCAGTGACAGAGAGCCTCATCTGCAAAATAGCAAAATAGCAAAAGCTATGGAGTAGAGACAGCAGCCAGTTATAGAAAAGGGGTTTCTAGAGAATCCCTGCCTTCGCGTTCACATTAGCTAAAGATTATTTGGCAAAAGCAATAAAAATGATTGTGGTAAACACACGAGTTGTTGAACTTTGTCACAAATGCTGTTGAAAGTGGCATATAAATAGATGACTCCAGTAGATCAATAGCGTTAATGGGAATAGGAGTTCTGAAGGGCATTCTCATTTGACTCTCTGGGGCACATAGTTATGTAGGGCACAGTAGAAATGCTTTAATTCTGTACTGGTTGTAAAGTTGCACTGTAAGAACAATCCCATGGAGACAAATGTTGCTGATGGGCTAGAATTCTTTTTCTTCCCATAATTGAGTTTTAAATCACTGGAAATACCAGGACCAATTCTTCCCTCATGTAACTCACTGGACAAACTTGGTCCATTAAATTTACATCTCAGACATGTTTTCTGATATAGTTTGCGGAATTATGAGCGGAAAACTAACTCCACAGCTATTTTTAGTGATCAAAATGAGGGTTTCTACTTACATATTGAAAAGTTATTCCCAGGGAATGGCAGGATTTTACAGCTGCAGCCAGCTGTTCTCTACAGAGGCAGACTCTAGTAGAGAAGCTCTTTCATGGGATAACACTGTTTTGCCATTAGGCTTGTAGTAAAAAACATAGACCAAAAACCATATTCTCTAACATTTGCATCGCTGAACCATTATGAAAATCAAATTGCCCCAACCATTCCAGATGAGATCACTGCTTTATGAGCCTTTTCTTACCTGGATGCGTGTGGCTGTGTGCACGTGCCCACAAAACGTTTGGTGTCTAATCCTGTAGCCCTAATGCATGAAAACGCCCATAAGACTTGAATGGGAGTTTTCCCAGTGGAAAGATTTAAGGATTAGTAGGCTTCCTTCGGTCTTGAGAGACCATGGGTATGTACCCCTGAGAGGTAAAGAATTTACTGGGTTGGTTTTATGGCAGCTTTGGATGTGACTGAAGAGACTCACTTGAGAGGGACAATCTCTGCGGCATCTGTCACATTTAAAGGTGATGTTTCGACCCTTTGGGCTTGGCCTTCTACGAGCAATTTCTCCTCAGCTAAACTGGACGGTGTCCTCCCGTAACTCCAAAGACCTTTGTTAAGCTCTTGTTTCCAAAGGCTGTGGCCTTGAGTGTGATCTTCCCAGTTATCCACATCCATTTCCATTTCTTTGAGGTCTTGTTTGCACACATCATTGAAAAGCAATTTTGGGCATCCTTTGTGTCTTTTTCCAGATGCCAATTCGCCATAGAGGATGTCCTTTGGGATGCACCCATCATTCATCCGGCACACATGCCCAAGCCAACAGAGGCGTCTCTGTTTGAGGAGTGTTTACATGTTGGGTATACTGGCATGCTTGAGCACCTCAGTGTTGGTGACTCTGTCCCTCCAGGAGATTCCAAAGATTTGATGAAGGCAACGCATATCAAATCTGTTGAGCCACTTTTCCTGATGAGAGTATAAGGTCCATGTCTCACTCTCATACAAAAGTGTGCTGATAGCATGCACGATATACACAAATCTTTGTGTGTTCTGTCAGTTTGTTGTTTTGCCGTACCTTTTTGCTCAGTCTAGACTTAAGTATTAGGCAAGTAGTATTGATAGTAGATGGAAAGAATTTCGGATAGAGGACCAAAAGGAACTTTTAAGGAATTTATTTTCTTTCGCAGGTCAGAGAAAGAAACTAACAGAAATTATGGAGCATGGGCTACTATTTTTGTAATGATTTACATTTGCCCATCACAAGAGTGTCTGGGCATGTGATATAAAATTTAAAAAAAAAAACAATGTGAACTTCCTACAACAGTCAGTATAGGTTTTTCCTTGTATTGCTCCAGCTCACCACCATTGGAAAAATAAAATCTTTCCCAGGAAAGAATAATAGTCAAATGGAGTTAAATGGTTGACCAAAATGATGTATCGTGTATGATTCTCTATAGATTAGTATGTTCAAACCAAAGGGCATGAGAATTTCACATCCCTGAAGATAGCTGGGCCTGATTTTGATACACACCAGTTTTACATCAGCGTAACTCCTTTTACATGCTGATTCACATTGCTGGAAATGATAAGAGAATCAGGACCCACACCGCCAATCCTCAGCTATGCCCAACTAGGAACTGTCAGCCACAGCACCACAACTGATCTTAGCTGTGGCAATGGTATATAGAGAGAGGAAGGAAATTTTAAAGGTAACCAAGTCCCAGTGTATACATGTGGCTTTATGCATTGAATTGGATCAGGGAGCAGTAAAGTCAGTGCAATGCATGCAATGACAGATGTAACTTGTTCGTGCTGATTCTGTCCACTAAGCAGGCAAGTCCCAATGCCACCTGATGCTTCCATGTGGTCTTCAAGACTAGACACAATTAGAATGCACTGAAAGAGTCCAATCTGGAGGTGTCAGATATTAGTGGCCAGGGGGAGTCCTGCACCAAAGAAAGGCTGTCACTGGTTAGGTAACAGCAGATTTCAAAACATGTTGCAAGTTATCACTGATATCTGGGAATCCAAGATCAGACCAGGTCCCAGAGTAGCCAAAGGTAGTGAACCTCCTCAGATGAACATACTCTACCAATAGAAAGCAGTTTGAAATCCTTGCTAAATCCTCTAGTTGCTCTCATGGCCAATCAGTAACATAACTGTTGTATCCAGACTGAGGCTCAAACAGCTCGCTCTCATCCACATCCCTGCTTCAGCTCGGTGCCAGGGAAGCAAGGAAATAACATCACTCCGGCTTGAGGAAGAGGAGACATAGTGTAGACCTTGGATATTTGTCCTTTTTGGGGATCTCACCTTGAATTGTTGTCCCAGGGACACTGGAGACACACTCTGAGCATGGGAGAAAAAGCAGCCTAGTCAAGTGGACTCTGTCTTCTTGGCAACTTAGTTTTTTTATTATCATTATTATTATGATTTGATGCCAGACAAGTAGGAGGCCCAAAATAGAACAGAGCAGAATAGAAAAGAAGAATGAGGCTATTGAGAATCAGAATCTAAAGACAGCATGTGAGGGGCCACATTTCTAAATCTGCCTCTAGAACGCCACATGAACAGTTTGTGCGTGCAAAGTGTGTGAGCGTTTCCAAAACTCTTCATTTTTGCCCATACCATTCCCCATTGCAGTTCTTAGCATAGGTGGCATGACAGGAGAAATGGCATGACCAGACTTGGATGGTTAAAGCCACTCTTGTCCCTTCTTCCTTCCCCATTCCATCTCTTCTCAATGGGACCAAGCAAAGCTCTGGTGCACTGAGGATCTGGTTCACTGTTGTCAAGTATTTTTCCAGATATCCATTGCAAAATTCATTACTGATTCCTTTTATTTTTTTAAAAGGTATTGACTTAATTCATCATATGAATTTTGAGATGTGACACTTACAGAAAATGAGCTTGGGAATCCAGGCTAGCAGTAACTGTACAGCGAATATGCCTGGGTCCTGGGCTGCTGGTACAGTGCTGCCCAAAAGACTGCGGTCTCAGAACTCCATGGGCTAACTAGTAGATGTCATACTTTTTTTTTGGTAAAGGAGGCCTGAAACTGCAGTATTATCCTGACTTCTGTAGAAAACTGGGAATAAAGTAACCCCAAGCTCTACGATACAACCGCATTTGCTCCAAGCCCTCAGACAGAGACAAACACCTACAAGATCTCTATCAAGCGTTCTTACAACTACAATACCCACCTGCTGAAGTGAAGAAACAGATTGACAGAGCCAGAAGAGTACCCAGAAGTCACCTACTACAGGACAGGCCCAAAAAGGAAATAACAGAACACCACTAGCCATCACCTTCAGCCCCCAACTAAAACCTCTCCAACGCATCATCAAGGATCTACAACCTATCCTGAAGGATGACCCATCACTCTCACAGATCTTGGGAGACAGGTCAGTCCTTGCTTACAGACAGCCCCCACCCTGAAGCAAATACTCACCAGCAACCACACACCACACAACAAAAACACTAACCCAGGAACCTATCCTTGCAACAAAGCCCGTTGCCAACTGTGCCCACATATCTATTCAGGGGACACCATCATAGGGCTTAATCACACCAGCCACACTATCAGAAGCTCGTTCACCTGCACATCTACCAATGTGATATATACCATCACGTGCCAACAATGCCCCTCTGCCATGTACATTGGCCAAACTGGACAGTCTCTACATAAAAGAATAAATGGACACAAATCAGACATCAAGAATTATAACATTCAAAAACCAGTCGGAGAACACTTCAATCTCTTTGATCACTCAATCCATTTTGACCTAAAAGTGGCAATTTTCAAAAAAAAGGCAATTGCCTAAAAGTGGCAATTTAAAAAAAAAAAAAAAAAAAACCCTTCAAAAACAGACTCCAACGAGAGACTGCTGAATTGGAATTAATTTGCAAACTGGATACAATTAACTTAGGCCTGAATAAAGACTGGGAGTGGGTGGGTCATTACACAAAGTAAAACTATTTCCCCATGTTTATTCCCCCCCTCCACCCCCATACTGTTCCTCACACGGTCTTGTCAACGGCTGGAAAGGGCCCACCTTGATTATCACTACAAAAGGTTCTTCTCCCCAACACACCCGCTCTCCTGCTGGTAATAGCTCACCTTACCTGATCACTCTTGTTACACTGTGTATTGTAACACCCATTGTTTCATGTTCTCTGTGTATATAAAATCTCCCCACTGTGTTTTCCACTGCATGTATCCGATGAAGTGAGCTGTAGCTCATGCTCAAATAAATTTGTTAG